TACTTTTACTCAAGTACAAGATCTGAGTACTTCTACTTTTACTCAAGAACAAGATCTGAGTACTTCTACTATTACTCAAGTACAAGATCTGAGTACTTCTACTTTTACTTAAGAGCAAGATCTGAGTACTTCTACTTTCACTATACAAGATCTGAGTACTTCTACTTTTACTCAAGAGCAAGATCTGAGTACTTCTACTTTACTCAAGTACAAGATCTGAGTACTTCTACTTTTACTCAAGAACAAGATCTGAGTACTTCTACTTTTACTCAAGAACAAGATCTGAGTAGTTCTACTTTTACTCAAGAACAAGATCTGAGTACTTCTACTTTCACTCAAGTACAAGATCTGAGTACTTCTACTTTTACTATACAAGATCTGAGTACTTCTACTTTTACTATGCAAGATCTGAGTACTTCTACTTTTAATATACAAGATCTGAGTACTTCTACTTTCACTCAAGTACAAGATCTGAGTACTTCTACTTTTACTATACAAGATCTGAGTACTTCTACTTTTACTATGCAAGATCTGAGTACTTCTAATTTTAATATACAAGATCTGAGTACTTCTACTTTTACTCAAGTACAAGATCTGAGTACTTCTACTTTTACTATACAAGATCTGAGTACTTCTACTTTTACTATGCAAGATCTGAGTACTTCTACTTTTAATATACAAGATCTGAGTACTTCTCCCTCTCCTGCAGACTCCACAAAATCACACATTTGTTAACGGTCCAACCTTTCCTCTCTCTGCTCCTTTTAAAGTTCCACATGAAATCCAGGCCAACAGGAGCGTTACGTAACTCTTCCCGCTCAGAGGTTAAGTTCAAGTACGCGGTTACGTAACGACCGGTGAACCGTGAGAGAAGCCGCCCTCCAAACGACCGGTGGATCCCAGTCTGACTCATCAGGTTGGAAATCAGGGTATTTTAGTTATTGAGTAGAAATGTCAACGTATTTTCTCCCAATTACGGTTGTTTTTCAAAGTAAGAGAACAGATACAATGATACTAATGAAACCCCCCCTCACAGCAGACTGTAATGACTCTGAGTGACATGCAGAGGGTCAAAGCGACTCCGTCTGTATTCTCACCTACTCTCTTGTCTTTCAAACAAACAGGTGAAGAACAAAACCCTCTCTCACCTCTCAATTAATAACTCAAATAAAACTCCAAACATCTTTAACTGTGTTACTTTTTTGTAAAGCTCTTTCAGTTTTAAACCTGATGTTTATAAGCTTCTTAGTTTTTGCAACAGTCTGTAAATATACACAACTTTATAATAAAATGCACACATTAACCTTTTTCTAGACTAAACACAGGTATACGATACGAGTTAAATAATATGAGGTTATCATGAGGTTGTTAACATCGCAGTTTATCAGTGGATGTTTGCTGGAACTGTTTGTAAACAGCGTGTTTCCTGACGGACACACACAGCGTGACTCCGGTCAGGTAGAGACCGGTCTCCAGTCAGCACCGATGCAGACTCGCTGTTTGAGGGCTTGATAACCCACTCCCGCTCCACACTCGTTGGTTTGGAACAGCACTTAATGTGGCGGACCCTCCGCGCAAACGGAGGGGTAGTGTGTAGGGGTAGGGTGTAGGGGCAGTGGCGGTTCTAGAACATTTTACATGGGGTGGCAAAGGGGGGGCAAGAGGTCATGCCAGGGTGGCATGGGAGGGCGGACAGTACGTGGTATTTGATACTGTATATATAACCTATTTATTGTTAAATCATGCCCTAACACAAGTGTTCTTAATGCACAAGAGAAACAAGGTGTTCAGACCAACAAACTCAAATATAGTATAAAACAGCAGAAAATACTCACGATACCCTAGAACTCTGCTTACTGTAAGTAGCCTACAGTAAAAGTACTTAGTTATAAGAAGTGATTGGTTAAGCTGGGGAGTGACGCCCCCGATCACTTATTGAGAGGAGAGAGAGAGTAGTAACATGTGAATAGTAAATGAAGGAGTAAAGACGGTCTTCCTGGTTGAACTTGCGCTGAGCTTCATTTAGTCTCAGATCACTTCCACATGTTCTCCATCAGCTTCGTATGGCACCTTGGACATAACACAAGAAGAACATCCTGTTTTTGTTTTTGAAAGACAAACCTTTATTAATGATCTAAACATTTCATTTGATCACACATCCCATCAGTAAAGTCTGTTCAATGATTTCATGATCAGTTTCACTTTATCCACACCATGTGTTTCATCTCAGCTATTTCAAACAGAGTCATACATGATTTCCTTATTGATTATTATCATGATAAGTTATGTTCTATAAAACATCAGAGTACCCAATTTCTATTTGGACAACAACAACAACAACAACAATTAGTCTGCAAAACAATAACATTTTATTTCCCAAGCAAAGACTCTAAGCTATTTACAGGAGAATAATGAATGATGTACTTATTGATTATGATCATGACAGTAAGTAATATCATTTTAAATAAACATGTGATGATGAAATAAGTGTTATAACCATCTGGGAACTCATTTGTAGTTAATTTGGGCAACAATAACATTTAATCTGTCTAAATAATACATGTGATTATAAATGCCTCTATTGTTTTAGAAAGTGGGCAGAATAAAATGTGTAGAATAAAAGAAGCTCTGCTGCTTTCTCTCTGAAGACTCGTGCATTACAAGAGAAACAACAACATGAATCAAAAGAAATATCCAACACATATTTAGAGCAAAGTTTACATATCAGTTCAGGTGAACAAGGATCCTCCTGAGCAGTGACAGCCTCCATGGCTACACAGACACAGGAAGGAGCCGGAAGAAAGTCCAACCTTTACAGAACAACTCATGAGGAGATGTTGAAGCACATCCCATCATGTTTGATTGACAGCTGATCTCTGCACAGTGAAGACATGAACAATCAGCTCTGATGGACACACGGTGACTTTAAGAAGTAGAAGAGTTCCTCCAATGACTTCAGGCTATTTGAGTTTACACAACTCAGCAGTGGCTCCATAATTATGATAAAGCCGAACTCCAGCATGTAGCGGCTGAGTGAATGTGGTCTGCACTCTGTGGAGGAGAGTCATGGTTTCAGAGACGCTGTAGAAGGACAGAATACCTGCTCTGTGATCCAGGTACACTCCTACTCTGGAGGACAGAGGACCTGAGACGGGAGTGCTGATACTGTTGTAACTAAATAAATAACCATTTTGGTCACAATCTAAGGACCAAGATTTGTCATTGTATCCAAATCCACTTACCCACTCTGCTCTGCTGATATTCTTGTATGCGACTGCTACATCAACTCCTCCCCCTCTCCACTCCACCTCCCAGTAACAACGTCCAGTCAGACTCTCTCTACTCAGGACCTGAGCATACCAAGTGAATCTGTCTGGGTGACTAGAATAAGACTGTTGTTGTCCCATGAGTGTTGCTTTTCTGCTCCCCTCAGATAATACCAGCCGTGTGTATGCTGTGTTTGGATCCAGAGTGATCTCCTGTGAATATTGTAAGAACCCAGCTCTGGTGGTGGGCTCTGCTGCTGACAGTAAAACCTCCACCTCAGTCGGTGAGACGTTTGTCCATTCCTCTCTCAGGACGTCCTGTAGTTTGTCTCTGACTGCTGACAGGGCCTCCGTCACGTCCTCAAAGTAGCTCAGAGGACGGATGTTGATGCTGGAGGAGTGTGTAGGTTCACTGAGGGCTGACAGTGAGGGGTAGCTGTGCAGAAACTGGTTGTGATCCTCTGTGTGAGACAGCAGCTTCAGCTCAGCGTCTCTCCTCTTCAGCTCAGAGATCTCCTGCTCCAGCTTCTCCTGAAGCTCTTTGACTCGACTCACTTCTCTCTTCTGCTGGGATCTGAGCTGCTGCTTCACATCAGAGCTTCTTTTCTCCATGAGACGGATCAGCTCAGTGAACATCTTCTCACTGTCCTCCACTGCTTTATCAGCAGAGCCATTGACGGCCCTCCACCTCCTGCTGAAGCAGCTTCACCTCCTTCTCTCCGTCCTGGATTCTCTGCTGGATGTTTAGTCGACTCCCCTCCAGCTCTCTCTGCCTCTCAGTCCTCTCTGCTGCAGCTGACACCGTGTCGTGGCCTTTGTGTTCGTCCACAGAGCAGAGATAACAGATACACTGCTGATCAGTGCGGCAGAACATCTTCATCACCTCGTCGTGACGAGAGCAGATGTTCTCCTGGAGCTTCTTGGAGGGCTCCACCAGCTTGTGTTTTTTAAAGACAGGTAATTCATAATGAGGCTGGAGGTGTTGGTCACAGTAAGAGGCCACACACTGCAGACAGGACTTACAGGCTCTCAGTTTCCTCCCAGTGCAGACATCACAGGCCACATCTTCAGCTCCAGCATAGCAGAGATCAGCAGGAGCAGGTGGGGGTCCAGTCTTCTTCAGCTCCTCCACTAAAGCTGCTAACATGGTGTTCTTCAGCAGGACAGGCCTCGGTGTGAAGCTCTGCCTACACTGAGGGCAACTGTGGATCTCCTTCTCATCCTCTCCGTCCCAGAAGCCTTTAATACACTTCATGCAGTAGCTGTGTCCACAGGAAGTGGTCACCGGATCCTTCAGTAGATCCAGACAGATGGGACAAGATATTAAGGTTTCCCGCTCCAGCTGAACTCCTTTCTGCGCCATTTCACCTCTCAGTAGCAGCGAGTGTGAGTTTCACTTCCTGAGAGCTGAAACTAGTGAGACAGCTGATCTGAACAGGATGTGTGTGGGCGGTGAATGTGGCCTATCAGCTCTTGTGCTTTACCCACATGTTGGTTACACCCCTCCTCCTCAGTGTGGATCTGAAGGGGAGGAACCAGGAAACACAGAGTGGAGCTGGCTGTGTCTGAGAGCAGGAAGGAGAGGGAGGGCTTATCAAACTCTGAGTCATTCAGGACGAGGAGCAGCACTCAGACTCTGACCGACACAGAGCCTCGGTTACAACCTGCTCTTCATTTGAAAAGAGCTTTTAGTTGTAAAATAAGTTGGTAAACTTACAAAATCGGAAGGAGGTTAAATACGTGTTTCCTCCACTGTAAATGTATAGCCTCAATGTCCTGAGATAGCTGATTGATTTAATAGTTTGATGTACAGTAAGTAGTTTTTTACTGTAAGTAGTAGTAGTAGTAGTAGTAGTAATAGTAGTAGTAGTAGTATTGTGTGTGTGGGGGGGGGCTTTTATATAGAAATCCTTATCCTGTGCATTCACACTAGCTTTGAACCTGAAAACTACACGTCCTCTTTAATTGACACCAAAATGATGATTTGTGGTTGAAACCTTCTTTTAAATCTTTTCTTTTTACCCTCCAACAGATGTGTCTCAATGGAGAAGAAGAAACCTCAGATTCCTGAGAGTCCATCGAGGTGAGTTCCTCCGAGGAGACGTCCCCCGCTGTGTCCCCTTCCCAGGATCCCCCCCACAGGACCCCATCACAGAGACACCCCTACCTAACGTGATCCAGGAGACTGAACCTCCTTCCTCACTCCCTTCCTCACCTCCTCATCTCCTTCCCTCCTCTCCTCTCAGAGGACCCTCAGACCTCCACAGACCCCCTCCCTCTCCTCCCTGAAGACCCAGCAAACATAGCTCTGTTTGTGGACGTTTCTCCAGCTTCCGCCGTCCAGTCGATCGCCTGGATCGGGGTCGTACCCTTCAAAGCGAAGGCGGTTAAGAAGGATTGACAAAAGGATTGGACGACGACATGCACGCGCTACGCTACGTGTGAAATGAATAAACTGTACCAGGTGTGTCGTATGCACACTAAATAGGCTCAGCAGCTAACACACCTTTATTATATATCCTCCTGAGAGCAACTGCATCCGTCTGCCATGAACCCTACAGAAACCTACGTGTTAGTTGTGGCCCATAGTGGCCTCCATTTGTGTCGTGTAAAATGGGGGAAATCAAAAGTTAGCAAATCCCCATGTCATGTTCATAAAAACATTTAATTTTAGGTCAAATAATGATTACACTGCTCTGAAACTCACTACACTAACTCCTAAGATGTTCCCTTACTATAATTAATTAAAAATATTGAACTCACAACACTGGTAATAACAAACTTAACCATTTCTCTTTCTATAAATAGATGGACGCCATTTTGAAATACAATGAAATTATCTTTTTGAAAGCCACAATAAATAAAGCTTCGCCAGTTTATAACCGATGAAACATGATGGTATCAGAATAATCACTTACATGTGATGTATAGGATGCTACACAGGTCACTGTAAAGATAACGTGTCAGAGGAGAAATAAGCAAGCTTAGTTACATGAAATGTAATGAAAAATGTAAGATTTAGCCAAACTTTAAAATGGTTCTCCTCTCTCCTGCAGTCAGCGTGATTTCAGGTTGTCATGCTGCCGCCCGCCTCCTCCCCATCCACCTCCTTTCATCACATCCAGTGCCAGGAGAGCTAATCCAAAGACCTCATCACATCCCCCTCTTCATCCCATCTCCTCATCAAATCCAGATCTTCAGCATCATCACCAGTGTCTAGACCCCGGGGGGGGGTTCCCTATATGCTCACGGCTGCATTTCCCCCTTTAGATATACGATTTCAGGATCGGGGCCTAATCGCCAAAGACTTAACATTCATCATATGGCATGTGTCAATAAATGTTCTTTAAACAAAATGAAGTCTCTCCTGATTGAAATACTCACCCTGAAGATGTGTTGTTTAACCTGAACTCAGGCATCTTGCATACAACTAGTCGTGTGCAACAGGAAGTGTTGGTTTTCTGAGTCCGTAGAAGAAAACGTGTGACCCGGAGAAAAACAAGACAATAACAATATCAACAGAAAGGAATGAATAAACCAGAAAGATACTGAGAGAATACATTATTTTGTACTTTAAAAGCCTACAAATATATCCCTGTAACACTTAATTCTGTATTTCAGGAGGTTTTAGTTTGTTTAAAATGAAGTACTACAATGTATACTAACTCCCTCCAGATGATCGACTTAAAGACTTATAGATTTTAGAAAGTACAAAGACTACAATCAAAAAGTTGCTACCTCTAAATATATAACAAGTTGTATATAAATAATATTCATACAAATATATATATTTAATATAGAAGATATTTAATGAACACAAGGTTTTAGTTTTCACTAATTTCCTTTTCAAAATCCTGACTTACACAAAGCGTTGAAGTTGAATTTTTAAAGCGATCTAATTAGATAATTCCCCACAGTATGTATGAAGCAAATGTCAGGACTTTATATACACCAGTACATATTCTGTGGTATTTTTAATGATCTTAATGAATGTTTTCTTTGTGCATAAATTGGCTTGAACCCCTCTCCACCTGTTGGTATCTAAAAACAGCAGATTTCTTTACAATGGCTCCCTCTTGTGGCCGTTCTGTTAATTACAAGGAGTCAATAAAACCATAAAGCAGATTTCTAATGATTTAATAACAGCTAGTACTTAATAATAAAGTAATAAATCAGGGTGGTTAGAGATAGCATGAACAGCTCCTTGTACATTTCAAAAGAGACATAGGAGTATTAAATATTTCCTTTTATATTGCCTTGTTTTATTTTTGATAAATTATAATTCAGTCAGACAACTCACGTGTTTCTTAATGTGTGTATTAGAAGCAGCATATAGTTTGAGGTTGGCGTCTAGGCGTCAGGAATATTAAACTCTGCTTCCTGTTTTCAGCACAACAACAACAACACTCACAAACAAATCAGCTACTCACACGGTGACAGTCGATCAATGTTCAATGGATAATTAGGAACAAGTCAAATGATCTTGTTTGTATTTGGGAGCAGTGAAAGGTTTTAAATCCCATTTACTGATCAGCAAGTCAGATATAATCCCATTATGTACGGAACATTAATGACTTTCTCTGAGATTTAATTGGTACATTTACGAGCAAAAACACAGCTTTAAGGTGAAAAAAGTTCAATATTCTCTGAGATAATAAAGCCAATAATAAGCCGAAAAAAACAAAAATATGACATTTGAAAATGTACAGGAAAAAAAACGTTATTATTTTCTCCAATGTAAGTGGAAAGGAAAAACTCACAAGTTAAAGAAAAATGTAACCCTGGAAAAGTATATTTTTAGCGATGTGCAATGCTGGATCCACCTCATCATTTTATTCTCGTAAATCATCAGTAATGTGTGAGATTATAATCCCAGAGTACATCAACGCCTCAGGTTTTCTTTCTTGTAAATGCATCCCTTTCATTTAGTAAACAAACGTATCCATATGTGGGCTTTTTCTCTGAAATGCACATTTTTCAAGTTGTTTTCTAGTTGATCTGCTGTTGTGTGACAAGACAAATAAAAAGCTCAAATGGTTCAGTCTTAAATATTAGAACATGATATCTTTCTATCTCTGAAAAGTCCAATATCTTTGGTGTTTCTCTCAACAAGAACCCATTAACCCTTTACTGGGGGAAACACCAGAGGGAATACAGAAACAGATTCCTACCTATTTCTGGTTATTAGAATAAAGATCATTAAACAAATGACAAGGCATTTACTAAAAGACAATAACTTAGTAAACTCACAATGGAAGAACTTAAATGAAATGTATGAAATGGAGAAACTCTGAGAATTAGAAACCAGATGCATATCTTTGAGGAAAGGTGGGAGAAATGGGTCGAGTATAGAAAAGTATAATGAAGATAATTCATGTATACCTGAGTATTAATCATGTATTCATTTTTTATTTGGAATATTATTATTACTATTATTTCTTTTCGTATATGTCATCTGTTATGTAGTTCATTTGGGTACCTAGATGTGTTTGTTTTGTTATGTACGCTTTGTGAATATTTTCTTAAAATGCAAAAAAAAGAAAAGAAAAGAAAAGGATATCTTAAAATATTTATGTTTTCCACACACACACACACACACTCACACACACACACACACACACACACACACACACACACACACACACACACACACACACACACACACACACCAGTTAGATCAGTGTGTAATCAGTAGAAAATAATAACCTCCCATTATGCAGATTTGACATCCTCGGAACAAATGCTGCTGTGTGTGTGTGTGTGTGTGTGTGTGTGTGTGTGTGTGTGTGTGTGTGTGTGTGTGTGTGTGTGTGTGTGTGTGTGTGTGCACGCAAGTGTGTGTGTGTGCGCGTGTGTGTATAAAATAAAATAAAATAAAGTGCTTAGGCTGCATTGATCTGTGAGATAACTGAACTGAAATGTTTAAGCTTGTATTTACTGTACTTTATTTATAAATGTGCTGTTCACTCAGCAGACACTAGAGGGCGCCAGAGGATCGAATAATGAAATCTGATGCAGAGCTCAGAGGTAAAGGAAGCTTTTTCATTATTTAACTATGGACAGAAACTTGACCTGATTTCTGATTTTGGTAAATAAACGTTGGAACAAAAAATACTGAGCATGGACCCACAACATTTTAAATATTTCTTAGTTTTTGTACTGCCTGTTGCTATCCTGACTTTTTAAAATAATTATATTTATTATTCTAAAAAATAGTTTTCTCCTGTTTTTTTAATCGTTTTTTTATGGATTTAAAATATGTTTTTTTATTTAAAATATGTTGTTATATCATATAAAACATTTGTATTTCATTTTTTTAAATATTTGGCTCCTTCCATGTTATTTAGCTTTAAAAAAAAATGTTCTATATAGATTTCGACATAATGTAGAATTGAATTAAGATTTTTTAACCAAAATAAAGGTGGTTATAACATCAGACATGAGAGCAGGGTTGCCAACTCTCACGCATCTGGCGTGTGACACACGCTTTCACTCTCAATCTCACGCTCTCACCCTGCCCAAACTATTCTCACGCCAAAAACAAGAATACCGAAGACTAGAAACGGGTTTGAAAACTTTTGTCACGTAGTGATCGTCTTCTCAATAGAACATCTTTGATAATGTCTTCTGGCCAATCAGAATCACGATAACGGCGTGATGTTGTTGCAGGAAGTCCCGACGGAGAATACTTTTGCGGTAGTACGGCCCAATCCCAAACCACTCCCTCGACCCTACCCCTCCGTGACGGAGTGAACTCCGTCTGTAGCCACACTCGCAGCTGAATGAGGCTCCCTCCTGTCAGATGGAGGGAGTAAATACAGCGGCAAGCTTTGGGACAAACTCCCCTCTCTCCGGCAGAAACAGGAAATGCCGTAACTGTATGTAACAACGGTTTCAAATCAGCATCTCTTAGACAAAAAATGTAAATTAAGAACTCAAATAAAACTCCAAACATCTTTCATTGTGTTACTTATTTGTAAAGCTCTTTTAGTTTTAAACCTGATGTTTATAAGCTTCTTAGTTTTTGCAACAGTCTGTAAATATACACAACTTTATAATAAAATGCACACATTTACCTTTTTCTAGACTAAACACAGGTACGATCCTAAGTTAAAAAAAATATGAGGTTATCATGAGGTTGTTAACATCGCAATTTATCAGTGGATGTTTGCTGGAACTACTTGTAAACAGCGTGTTTCCTGACGGACACACACAGCGTGACTTCGGTCAGGTAGAGACCAGTCTCAAGTCAGCACCGATGCAGACTCGCTGTTGATAGAAATCAACACGTAATGAAATAAGACCCCACGGTTTGATGATTGATAGGTGTGTGGGCTGTCTTTCATTTTGACACACAGAACAATGGGGGCTATCCACCCTTATCCACAATGTAAAGTAATTCACACAGCCTCTTCCCTCTTCTCTCTGTGAGG